CGGATTCTCGTTTAAACATTTTGCTAACGATTCTAAATCTCCTATGTCTTGAAACTCCTCCAAGAAGTTCAACACATTTTCCTCGCAATCCACCACAAATTTATTAATAGATCGGTTTTCAGTAAAATAGACAGCTTTCGCTTCACAATCTTGGATCTGATCGGATATAAATTGTTTGAAATTGATCGGTAATAATTTAGTACAACTGTTGTAGTGAATGTTGAGAACGCCAATTGATAAAGGGCTATTTGATATGTCTGTTTTCTTCATTTTTGAGCAGGCAAATTTCAATACATCGACATTGTCATATATCAACTTATCACCCGGCATTACTTTTATCTGATACGATTTTAAGACCTCATCCGCTAAGTCATGGTTTATGTATTTTCTGGTCGTGAATTTTCTGGTCGTTTTTTGACTTTCGACCTTTGAAGATAGGCTTGAATCAATGGCATTCGTATCAATGGGTGTTTTTTGTTGTGAAGAAGCAGAATCTAGAAAGACATTCGTAAGCAAAATGGGTGTCACAACCTCAGAGTCTGAGTCTGATGAAAACTCTGGAGAAGTTTCCGTGTTAATGGCTCTAGTCTATGCATGCATGTCAAAAAAGTTAATAGATGATTTTGCTAGCTAAATTTGATATAGTATACTGACCTTATTTGGCGGTGTCGAAGGTAATTTCTCACCTTGTCTTTTTCTTGCTAATGTCTGGATATTCTCATCTAACACACCGATCCTTACTTGACAAGCATTTTGTTCCTAGGTAGTTTGCAAAAAAAAAAATGATGTTATTAATAACTTCACTAAGCTTATCCAGAGCGTGGGTAACTTACTTCTTTCTCTTGCAAAATAACTTGTGCAGTTCGAGTTTTAGCTTTCTCTTCTCGAACGTTGAGGCTATTCCAAAAATTTTGTACACTGAGAGAGTTGATAATCTCTCTAAAATTTCCGAGAAGTTTTTTAGCTGTCACAGAATACTCGCCATCCTCAAGTTCAATGATTTTTAATGTTTCGAGCAAAGTTTCCTCTGCCATTTTTCTTTGAGAGAACGTAAAATAGTTCTCTTTGAAAAATTTTGTAGTACTGAAATTCCCACTGACTTTCCCATTTGACAAAACTTCTTTTAGCGAAGTAACATACTTCTCATACTCCTGCATACATAAATATATATTAATATCGTGAGCCACGATTAACAAATTTTGTGAACTGTGATTATATTGATACAAACCATGATAAAGGCGCGTAAGAAATATCAAAACGCGTAGTAAATTAGATCTGATGTTATACGTGATCATCGAGTTTGTCATGACTATAAATAAATTCTCTTTGCATCTTAATTTTTTCATAAACCCGGCGTTTCCTTAGCCTGTAAAACCCGAGGGGATACGTCTGCCTCTGGTGTTGTCTGCGAAATGATTGCATAATGGCTTTCAAAAGATGCATAAGGTTCTGGTTCCTATATCCAGCGTTTCCTTAGCCTGTAAAACCCGAGGGGATACGTCTGCCTCTGGTGTTGTCTGCGAAATGACTGCACAAAACGTCTTTGCTTTGATGTGGTGGCCTTATGTTATCCGGAGAATGTTTTCGGGGCACATAAAACAACTTAGATATTTGCAAAGGAAACAAATTTGATGAAACTTTATTAATTTTCGGTAAAAAAGTGGAGAAATGTCAAAGAGGGAGGATCCTAGGCGAGTCCCAGCATCATTTTTATTTCGCAACACTAACTCTTTTTTAAGAAGTATTTTTTTTTTATGTCAGATATGGGTAAATTATTTTTGCGAACACAAGGTTTATTATTTGCTTATAAATCAGCCCGAAATCGTAAAACTCACAAGAATTCCCTAAACAGAAGTAAAACTGCGTCTGCATCAGAACTTTCTCAGCAATTGCGGGACGCTTTGGAGTTATTGCGTCTAGCTCCTGATCAACAGTTGAATTTCGCAGGAGCATTCGAAAGATGTGCAAGATGGGTGTATAGAAGGAGGAATTAACCTTTATTTTTTTTATTTTTAGAAAATATACATCATAATTATTTTATTGATGATTAATAAATGTTCTTTAACATAATCTGTTAAAATTATAAATAATTGATTGTAAGAAAACATTTTATAAAAACTAAGGGGCAATCCTTATGTGTGTAGCAAAATATAAATCCAAGATAGACCATTGCTGTGTAGCATTACATTAAATGTGATAATATTACGTATTCTGAACCAGCTTTTGTAAATTTATTGCGATTAAAAAAAGTTGATGTATAAAGAGAATATTGCAACCAATAGTAACAGAATCCATTCTTAGAATCCTTTTTCCATTATTTCAAAGGCTTTACTAAAATATTCACCAGCTTTTGTACCTTCGTAAGTTCTACAGAATGTCTTCAACATAAGTCGGTCCTGTTGGTCCTCAGTCAATTCTTCTTGTGGTGCATCAGGTAAATCATCGTAGTTTTCCAAATCATAATCTTCATATTCTTCATATTTTTCATATTTTAGTGACGATAATGACATAGCTTCCATTGCCTTATACAATAATTCCTGCACAGCCCGATCATTTTGTCGACGTCTTTCCATAAAATCCTCTGCCTTTTTATTTTCGTTGACACTACCTTTAACAACCTGTACAGCCTGATCATGTTGTTGACGTCTATCCATAAAATCCTCTGTCTCTTTATTTCTACCTTTAACGAGAACATCACGGTATGATAATATTGCGGTATTATTATCTTTTCCTTTAGTATAAGTGGTAGTTTCATCTTTGTGGCCTTCTTTCTTCACATGAACATCGTTTTTGATAAGAAAAGAAAATATGTTAGACAAATTAAAATATAATTCACCATGTGTATACGAGGATATTTTTTATATAGACTGATATTATTTTGTTATTAATTAAGAGGAGTCACATAACTTGCAATAAAGCAGAGACAATATAAATCATCTCGCAGGAGAACATATTAACAGTAAACAATTATATAGAGTACAAAAAAAGCAAGACCCGAAAGCCAGATTCTATTCTTCTGTTCTTATATTGCTATTGATGGTTTATCGAAAGGTTTATCAACTGAAATCTACACTAAATTGTGGTAACATACCTAAATTTAATTCTTCATTTTCATCACATGTATCTCCATCGCTAGGGTCCACAAAGTAATCATTATGGTTGATAATCAAATGTCGGTTTAGCGCATCAGGAGAACAAAATCGCAAGCCAGTGCAAATTGGACACTAAAATATAAAAAAGTTCAACGCGATCACCCTTGTTTTACAAGAAAAAAAAGTAATAATAGTATCAAAAAATACCTTGAATGGTCTTTGTCGAGTGTGTCCACATAAATGTTCTACAAGACAAAACAGTAAATTATTATAATTTCTACAGTATCGGCGGAACTAGCAAAGGCAAAAGGTACATTGACATTTTTTTATACCTTCTAATTGATTCATACTTTCAGGCATGGTAGCTAGGGATGGGAAATTAACGGTTAATTAAGATTTGGTTAATTAACCGTTAATTAACCGTAATATAAATTTTAATATA